TGTGACGTCACCCATCGGTTTGTGCAGTTTTGAAGCCTCGAGTTTGGTCGGAGCCAGCGGAGGTGATGTTGAGCTGCTCTCATTGGATGGGCAGTTTCGACTCGTCCGTAGCAGGAAACAATGACGGCTCGCCCGCTCACACAGGGTCTGGTATATCAGAGAAACAGTACAATGTGTTTGTGAACAGATTTGAGGAGAGAAATAGTCAACGCAGTAACAGAATCTGGATCCACAACATTAGAAGATAATATAATTCATCGCAACCGAAGCTGGTAATGGAAGTAGTTAAGGAGGGAGTGAAAATAGGGTAAAGACGAAGTTTATGACCTCCGTTGGGTCCGTCGAGGCGTTGTTGGTTTATAACTGCTAACAAATAAAACAACCTGTATAAGGTTCAAGGATAAACGGACGTTCTGACACCAGGCAAGTGAAGAAAGGTTCTGACTGCTTCACACCGAATGTGGACAGTCAGAAAGAAGTGGCGGAGGTTAATACAGTGCAATGAGGAGCCGTCGTCTCGTCTTCGACAAACGAGGTCAAAGTTGAAACGCTCGAGAAGACGAAGTCCGACGGCAGCGCAGAGTCGTCTCACCCTTTGTCTTTCCGTCTCTCTCCCTCTCTCTCTCTCTCTTGCTCACACAGTCCACCCCTCTCTCTCTCTTTTTGTCGCTTCCTCCCTACTCCGTTTTGGCACACGTTGCCACGGTAACCACTGCCTCTTTTTTTGGCTAAGTTGTAGTGGTGCAGTTTTTAAGGCCCATACTGGTTTCCACCACTCCTTCATTTAGGCAATCAAACACTGCCTGCATCCATCTCTCTAACACACACACACACACACACTGTCACGCCTACACACTCGTACAGTAGGTCTGATTTGCCTTTGATTTGTCTTCTCTCTCTCTCTCTCACACACACAACCTCTCTGCTTTCAGATTCCACAGGAGATTACCCAGAGTGCCGCCGGCCTGAGGATCATCCAGAAGAGAGAGAGAGGGACGAGAGGGAGAGAGAGAGAGAGAACGAGGAGGACGCACACGGTGATTGGAGGAGGAGGTGGAGCCTCGGAAAGACTCCCCGCTCCCCCCTCATGTGAAGCCCCTCCCCTCTGAGGAAGTGCAGTGAGTAGCTTCAACCTTTTTCTGAGGAAGAGACAGACTTGTTGTGTTTCTTTGTCGCTTTTATTGAAGTGAACAACCAGCATTACCCATCGTGTGTTTTTCGGAGCTGGTGTAGCCGCTTGAGTCACAGGATAGTGTAACGACACGCTGCCGTGTTCTGGCTTCGTCGTGGTGGAAAAAGCACTTTAAGTCCTGTTATACAACCTTAAATCTCCCTGCTTTAACCACAGAAAAACTATTGTACAAAAGCTCCTTCATGGCGGGCTGAGGGGTTGCTGGACTCCTGTTGAAACACTGGTAAATGCTATTAAGTCAGTCGTGTTGGTTTAATGGCGACCCTGCAGGATGATGTGACTCCTGTGGTCCTCAATCCAAGAAATAAATAAATAACTGGTCATGTGACGTTGCTGAGCTGTGGCAGGTGTGTTGTGCCGTAGCGAGTGGGCAGGTGAGCCTCCTCTTGTTGCAGCAGCTCTTCTTTTTTATCCCAAACAACCCAGATTTCATTTTCATCTGCAGTGTAAGATCCACAGTTGCTTTTTCTAGAGAGCTGGTTCTATTGCTGTAGTGTAAAAGTGTGTTTATGTATGTATGAATAAGCGTTTTAACGGGAGTAAGAATGAAACACGTTACCTGAGAAAGAAAGACCATCTGGAGGTTTTGTAAATCTCAATTTTTGTAAATTGTAAAATGAAGTAACATAACCTGCAGTTCCTGTAACGGCCACTAGAGGCTGGCTCCAGCAGTGAGTCAGTCTCCATAAGGCTCCATATTAAAATGCCAAACTTTACAGCAGAAATAAACATGTTTACAGACTGCTTTAATTCATGAAAACAGGGGGGTGACTTTTTATATAACTCACCCATTTGAATTATATTAAGGCTTAAAGTTATGCATAATTAAGGGCGTCGCCACATTGATTGACAGGTGGGTGCCGTCACAGGCAGCTGTTTTCAGTCACCAGGCTTCGTTCAGAGCTTCAGAAACCTGTGGCGGACGTCACAGAGACTACGTCCTCTTTCAATACACAGTCTACGTTTGTGATCCCGCTCTGAGATTCTGTGTGGCTTTGGGTGTTGAACTGAACAAACAGTTGTTAAAGTTTAGGATTTGTCTGTTAAATCGAAAAGGTGATCATTAATGTGTGATTCATACTCCACAGGCACCTGTAGACCACAATCCTTTATTATCAAATGTGAGGATTTGCTGCTTTTCTCTGTTTCATATCACTGTGATCTGTTTGGTTGATTTGAAGACGTCTCTTTGGGTTTTCCGATGGGGATGTTATTCTGTTTTATGACATGTTAGTGCTGGTTCAGCTCCTATCATCCTCTTTCTCATAGTTAATAAAGTTAAATAATACTTAACTGCAGTGCAGAGTGTTGCAACTTTCACATATTTTAACCGTCAGAAATTAACCATGAATCCTGCGCCTGCATTAATTATCCAGCTAGTCAGAGATCGCCTGTGAAACAAACAGAGTGAAACTGCATGTCAAAATGTAACCAGGAGAACATCCAAGAGCTCAGTGTGAAAGCACATCACTCGTCTAAGTTTTAATCCTTGAGATGTATTGCATTTAGAATTACTTCAGGTTATCTCTTCTTCTTTCTTTTGATATTTGTCTGTGTATCGTGTCACCGAGTACGAGAAACAAACTGTCAGAAAGAAAGTCTCCACATTTTGTAGTAAAGCGTGCCGACTGTAAAGCAAGCTGGTGTAAATCCCAGAGATTTGTTCAGAGCGATGAGTCAGTCAGAGCAGGATCTGATCAGACGGCTCAGAGGAGAAAATCCTCGAGGAGAAACAGAACCAGATCCTCAGCGGAGGAGGAGAGGAACAGAAATGATGGGAAATCTTCACGTCAGCTCATATTTCCGTAGATAAAATCTCACACTGTGATCCTTGATGTACATGATTAAAGAAATCCTTGAATACGTGCGCATAAAAAAAGCCAGAAAGCACCGTGTGTGGTTAAAAGAACGAAACAGAGAGCATCGTCTCGTCTTCGCCGCCTGTCGCTCCACAGGTGTTTGCCCTGTTTTTACCGAAATTATACACTGGTGTCGGGTACAATCACTTCTCGTCCATCAGGAAGAGGAAACTTAAAAGTGAAATCAAACCCAGCCTCACATCTTTGGGCTCTTTTGTCCCCTCAGCGTCCTTCAGTCCCTCAGAAAGTGGGGGAAAGAGGCTAAAAAACACAATTTGGCAAAATTCAAGGCCTTGAGATCCATTCAGTGTAAAGTCTTATTTTGTCACTTTGAATATGGCTGTTTTTCTCTTCCTCTCTTCCTTACTAAACACTCCACAGCCCCCTCTGGAAAACCTTGAAAGTTAGAGTCTAGTTTTCCAGTCATGAAACCACCTAGAAATTGATTAAAATGGCCAAATATCCTGGAAATAATCTTATATTCTAGATATAAAATACTCTCACTCAGACCTGGGTGAACGTGGTTGTTAAACTCGACTGTTGATAGAAGCTTCAGAGTGGTTCGGTCGTAGTTTACCAGACGTGGAGCAGAACAGAATTGCACTTCTAGAAAAAAGACAATTATTCTTAAATATAATCAGAATTTTGAGCTTAAAAAGAGTGGGAACCCTGACACAGTTCTGCACCGCTTAGCAATTACATTTTCCTGTTCAGTTTCATCTAAAAAACCAACTTCCTTAAAATGTTGAATTGGGGTTTCAGGCTGAAATCGTGCCATAAAGGCTGGTGGTGAAGAAGAGTACGAGAAAGGGGAGTGCCATTGTCGAGAGAAGAGGGTGAGAGAGTCACACCTCGAAGACTGAGAGGTTTTGGGATGAAGGCCGAGACATCCTTTTGTATAGAAAGTGGCTCCGGGAAAAAGTCAGAGAGACACTTTGAGAGATGTGACATTTCATTCCCAAAATTCAAAACACAGGTCCAGTTTTCTGCAGATTGGCTTTTGTAGATTTTAAAAAAAAGTGTAGATGGAGTGAGGAAGAGCAGGTTTGAGGGAGAGCAAGAGGAAAAATCACATTTGAGAGCGAAGTATCAAATGAGCCACCAGCAGGAAGAACAAAATTGAGAAGCAGAGTTAAGAGAAGAGAGAAGAGGATTTGATACTTGAGGAAAAGAGCAGCAGAAAGAGGACTAATGGAAGAGACACGTACTTCAAACTGTATATACAGTCCGAGCCAGACGGAAAGAAGAGAGTCCGAGATGGTTTTTGAATCAGGTAGAGCGTGTGTGTGTGAGGTGTGGATCCCTCCTGAGCTGGAACCAACATGCTCAGTTCAGCAGGTTCATGCAGTAACAGTTTAAACATGCCAGCGTCCACAGCCTCCGGTGCCCCCGCAGCACCGAACTAAACCGCCTTTGTAGTCCGAGCTGCCACAGAGGCTGCTGCTACGTTAGACGATTGTGTGATTTGGGAGAGCACACATTCAGGGGAACTTTTCAACAAAGCTTGTTTCAGTCGAGGCAGTCAGTCAGTTTGTGTTAAAAGTTTTGGTAACCACATCTGGAGCTGGCACGGAGGTCCAGAGTATTTGTATCAGTCAGCTGACCCAAAATAGCTCGCTGACGATTGACACTGGATTCATTCAGTAAAGTCTGACATGTAAATCTGACTTCAGATGAGTTCATGAGAAACGTCTTTACAGGAAGAGTTCATTAGGAAAATGCAGAAAATAGAAATTGATTAGCTGAAGCCACGTGACTGAGCAGGAGATCAATACAGCGTCAGTGAACCGTCTTTAGAGGAAGTCAGTGAAATAGGCTCATTTGGCATCAATTCAGTTATTAATATGACCCCATCAGGGAGACGGTCGGTTCGGCTACATTCACCAGTAACAACGTGAATCCCAGCTGCCTCCGCTGAAAGTTGGTGAAAGTAACCGGTGTAAAATGATCACTGCAGAGGCGAGTGCTGGTGGTGGTCCTCACCTCTCCGGCTACGTACTTTAACATCCAGGGAAGATGCATTTGCGGGATGTTGAAGGCGTACTTTAGCTTGCAAAGGCTGTGGCTAATAACAAAACAGAAACAGTTGATATAACTGAAGAACAAGCGGGAGAACCACCGATACGGATTATACCGTTATGGCTGCAGTGCGTCATCCAGCCATACTTTTAGCTCCGCCCCCAAAAAGTCCTGAACCCAAAACCAAAGACAGTTTAACGGTTTAACTCCACAATTCAGTACTAAATAGTTCAGTTTTTTATAATGTTTTTAATAATTATTTACTGACATGTATAATGTGTTTGGAGAGAAATCACTGAATATCTTTTAATCCTGGCTTTTATTTAAGGTGCAATTGTTGCCTCAGTATTGATGATTGGTCTCTCTTTATCCCTTGTGTCTATTTATTTTGTAAAATGTTACCTATTTATTAAATTTTATCCAGCATTTAGCCAGCATGTTTGTACCCTTTGCTGCAAGTCTGAACATCTCGTCTGAAAATACAATAAAATATAAAAAGAAACATGTTTTTTTCAGCTCCATCCATCGCTTGTCCAAATAACCCACAAATATGGCAATGAGCAACCCAGTGTCCCTCCAACAACTTCAGGCTGATGACACAGATGCTATTTTCACATTTTTCTGCCCTCTGGCTTCTACTAGCTACGAATACCAACGGTGCTGTTCAGATTACTCTACGCCCAGTCTGTGATAACTATTCACCAAATAGTGGCTCGCAGGAAAACAAGCAGGGAACCATCGACATGTATAAAGATGGACGACGCGACAGCTCTCCAAAAGTGAAGCCAAAACATCTTGAGTCTCTCTCTCTCGAGTAAAGCTCTATTTATACTTTCTGCACCGCCCAGACTTTACGAAAGCGTCAACACGCCTAGAAATGTGGGCACCGTCTGTCCTCCTCCTCATCCGTTACGGAGTGAATGAGGGACTTAATGCCACTTTGAGAACCCTATGTAATGGAAATTGCTGCTTTGTGCCATTGGATGATGACATTTTTGTATCAGTGTTGAATTTGGATGTGGTTTGCCTCATAGTAGCTTCTCTGTTT